AATCAGAATTGAAATCAAAAAATATTTTAAACAAAATCTAACCTGGACATTTTATCAAACATCACGTAGGCAGAATTAGAGAATACCATTACTATGAAATATAGGTTTAGCTCCATAAAACAACATCTATAGCTGCTACTTAAAAACAAAGAAAATGACCTGAACATTTTATCAAACATCACATAGGCAGAATTAAAATGAAATTATTAGGTAGCATTACTTTATCAATTGAAAAGAGATATCTTTTAACATGGTGGCTACACACAGTTAAATATGGTATGGTCAGCAATTTGTAAGGAATACACTGAAGTGTAATAACAATAAGCAAATGCATACTGCATCAATGTCATGCTTGAATAAAATGTATAAAGCTTAATAATTTGTGTTCTATATTAGAGACAAACTAAAAAATATATGCAGGAACTGAGATGCTTTACATGAACTGATATGAAATCGGAAGAAACGGCCATCGCTGAAGATGAATTTCATAAACATACCGGGATGGAGATGGCGATCGACTGGGATGAAGGTGAGGGCAGATGACTCCCAAGAATTTTTACGGAGCTTTCTTCTGTTTGAGAAGAAAGAGAGACTGATGTAGAAGGAATAAGAAGCTCGGGGGTAGAGGGAGCCGTGGATTTAGGTGATGAGGATCGGACGGATGTTAGTAAAATTTGAGGTGAGCGGGAATTTCATTCCTGGAATTGTAGTGCTATTAAGGAGAGGATTGACTATGAACATAACTCACACATATGAAAAACGTAATATAATTCATGTTTTATGAAATTTAAATCGAAAAAACAAATTTTATGTCTTAAAAAAACTAAAACCATATCAAAGAGATAAGAAATATTTTTTTTTTATAAAGAGATAAAGAAATATATTATAGAAAAAAAATTATGAACATGAAGATAAAGATTTTTTTTAGATGAATTATTATGTATTGATAAAGAATAAAAAATAGATTCAATTATAATTTAAGATGAAGATAAAGAAAGTAGTATTTTAATTTGATGGAAAAAGAAAAGAATTGAACAAAAGAAAAAAAAAGAAAAGCAAAGGAAAAGGAAATAACAAAGTTGGAGACAAAGGAAGTGGGAAAAGGAAAGCAACGTAACTTTCCTAAGATCGGCACACCATGCGGAAGGTGGGCCGATCCCACGGTATAATTTGCACAGGTTGCCATCTAAATTTACACATATGACGACACATGGCAACATGTGGCGCCACATGGCAACACTGGTACATTATTTTCTTTTTCTTTTTTCCTTTTCCCTTTTTTCTATTCTCTCGCACCCTCCTGGTTCATCGACTGAGTCTTCCTTCTTCCTTGCGTCAAGAAGGTCAGCTACATGACTCTGATTTGATCCTCGCCGACAACATTTCCGAGCTCGCCGCCACACCACTCGGAGGAAACCTAGTCCTCGCCGCTCCGGACGAACCAGGGAGATGAGCAGTGGACGGACGAATCGGTGGAGAGAACCGAGTCCTCGCAGCTCCAGACGAACCATGATTCTTCGCGAATTGAAACCCTGTTTCTGTTAATATTCACCGGGAGATGAGCATGGTGCAGACGAATTAGGAAGAAGGAAGAAAAGGAAAGAAAGAAACACTGAAAAAGCTTTAAATTGACCATGAATATCTGATTCATTTGAAGCCCCGGGCCCCCGGTGAATGAATTGAAGCCCACCTACTTTTCTATTTGCTGGTGCGGCCATTTTTCCGGTGAATGAAGCAGCCAAAATGGAGGAGCTTGAAATTGCTGGGCTGGGGTGGACGAACCAGGGAAAGGGAAAGGGAAAACGAAAAAGAAAAAGAAAGAAAACGCCACGTGCCACGTATGTAGTTTAACCGAGAACCGGTTATTAGCTGGTTAAATTGACGATTTGGCTCATTTTTAATAGTTGGTGGGTTTTATTGAACGAGATTTGAGTTGTTGGACTTAATTGACATTTTTGTAACAGTAAGGGGGCCTATAGGATACTTTTCTCATGAGGAATATTTTGGTAAGTTCGAACTGACCAGAACCGTCGTAAGACCCATCCCGTTTGAGAGGCTTTTGGGTTGACTTTTTAATGAAATTTTGTGAGCACGTTCTTCATTAAATGTAAAACATTCACATAAAACTTAATCAAAATATTCATTTGGGAATCAGTTAAATAAATTCTTCACAAACACTGCGCAAACATATGCATAAAAATCACAGTGTTTTTCAACAATTTATTTAACTGATTTTCAAATTGAATTTTAAGCTGAAATTTTGAGCGAATGTGCCACACTTCATAACGAACATGTTCAAAAAAAAATTCATCAAAAAATGTAACTCGGAAAGCTCTCAAACGGGCTTGGCCGCAAAGCGGTTATGGTCAATCTGAACTGACCAGAAATTTATTATATACATATGTTCGTACTTTAATATATAAAAATTTAAAAATAAAATCAAACTTATAATTTTTTCTTTACGTTCAATTTTTTATTCAACATCTACAAACTACAATTCTAAAATTTTGAAACATCTATACCAGAATTGTTTGTGAACAAATTTTACACTTTCTTTTGATTCATTAAGTGTACGTTAGCGCATAAATGTCAATATTTTCATCTACTTCTCTCATGTAAACTCATGATTCATTGATAGTGTTTTGCTAATTTTTCTGTTCTCTCGTGTAAGTGAATTGTTTTAGTCTAGTGAAACTTGCAATTTGTTTTACTCTAGTGAAAATGTGAATCAAAATATGAAAATTTTACTCCATAAACGATATAACTTTCGCGTCTTTCCCCAATTCAAAATTATGTACTATTAAAAATCGTTCTACTTTTTCATTGAGCCGTTTTGGTACATGGTATTCTTGAATGTCAATTATCAAATACTTAAATATAATATCTCTAACCGTTCTTTATTAATTTCTTTGATATGTTATACTCATATTTGATGAAAAAAAAAATTCTTAAATATATTTAATTATATTTTTATTCCCTGAATAGAAGTAAATTCCTGCAAAGTTTGGCATTACTAGGCTTTAAACATGACATTTTTTTCAAATTTGGCAGAATTACTCTTATTTAGGGAATAAAAACATGAAAATCCTATTTTGGAATTTCAAAACGTTTTTACTCCTATTTAGGGCAATTTCTATAACATTTTTAGAACAATGTTCAAAATGTTAAACAACACATGAATCTATAGCCTAGTTAGCTTTTTTGCGTTTAAAACGCGTTTTAAACATGTACCATTTTTTTGAACAAAAAAACGCGTTTTAAACGAAAAATAATGTCGGTCCGTTTAAAAAGGAAAAAAACTTCCCCTTCCCGTATAAAACGTATTTTTTCCGTATTTTACAAAAAATAAAAACATCATTTGATCACTTGAATGAATACATCAAATGAATAGGAGATCAACAATAGTTTAAAAGCAAAAAAGAAAACCTCATCCCCTTGTCTTTGTATTGTTACAATACAAAATATACAATTGTTAAATACTAAAATTAATTTCATGATGACTAAAGCTAGCATCCTAAGAGACTAAAATCTAAAATACTACTACCGTCGTCCCACTATGATTGTCTCGTTTTACCTTATCGGTCCGTCCCACTAAGATTGTCCAATACCAAATTTAACAAAGTTTGTGTGGCTCTAAACCATTATTACTTTATTCTTACTTTATGAATTCAATATCAACCACATAAACCATTTTTTATTGATTTGCGTGTCACTTCCTCTTGTCCCATTGTTAACGGGACGGAGAGAGTACTACGTATTAAATTTGTGATGTTCTTTTTCAAACAAGCATATCAAAATTAAGGGTTTTCTTAACCTGACATTTTTAGTATAAACTTTTACACATAAACAATAATAAGTGTAACAGTCACACAACTTTCTCATGTCATCCGTCATCTAGGTGAAAATGATGAGTTTAACTTGAGTGTTATTTGATGATCATATAAGGATGATGATGATGTTAACTTGGCCTCATTGTATCGTTAATATGCCTTATCTTCTGACATTACTTTGCAAAATTATGTCTTAGACTTAATTACTCTGTACTATTTTTACATTTGTCATCGACTTATGCAATTATGACTTATTATTTTATGTAGTAATGTGATTTGCTACTTCAATATGTGTACACTCTTATTTCTTTTTATTATATGTTATTTTATGAAGTATATAATTTAAATTTTATTTTGGACTCAATCATTATTTTTGTTTTGTCATGAACTTATGCTATTATGAATGCATTTTTTGATGGAGTAATGAGATATTATATTTGAATGTGTGTGTATGTTGATTATCCTTTATGTACTACTTGTATATGTTTTTATACTCTAAAAACTAGTACAATAATTTAGTCATTCAAAATAAGACCCGTATTTTTAAACTGAATTTTTCTAAGAGATGTCGTATTATACACGTATATGTATTTAAACGTTTTATAAAAGTCAACGTGTTTTTTGTTGAACGTTTGACCGTATTTTTTGTTCAAGTTACCGAATAAAACACGTACGTATTAAACCACGTTTAATTCTCGTACCGTATTTAACTAACTATGATCTATAGTATATTTTTAATACAGTATAAGATTTACATAATTTTTATGTGTGAATTTTTTGATGAAATGCTTTGAGCATGTTCCTCGTCAAGTCTAGTTTATGCATACCAAATTTCAGCACAAAATTCAATCGGGAATGCAGTTAAACAAATTCTTGAAACATACTGCATTTTATATATGTACAAAATGTGCTGTAAAAGAAGAGTCGCCACTTGGAGTGACGGTTTTTGTACTAAAAGAGAAGATCTGTCACTTCAAGTGGCGGCATTTCTTAACCAGGATTAAACCAGCAGTATTTCGTGAATTATTTTAAATCCAATAGTATTTTGAGATTTATTTATTTAATTAGCATTATTGCGGGGAAAAATTCCTGCTTTTGATTAATGAATCATATACCCGTTTATTTACATATTAGTACGGAGTACTTATCAATTAACGTAACCTTCCCCGTTTTGTTGGATAATACTCCGTAATTAATAACTTCTTAGAAAGAGAAAACCAAAGCACCTAACAACTTTCACTCGTATGAATTAATTCAGGGCGCGTGGAGTCCGGGATTTTGTTTCCCACCTCAAAACAAACTTACAAACGGAAACAGCTTCTCTCTGAATTGGATTGGGTGATATACCCGCTTTTGGCAATCAGTATACTGATGAAATACTCCTTTTTTTTTCATATCAATCCACCGCTTTCAGGTGAAGCTACCCATTCCAACCCTAGCAAACTTGCCGGAAATTTCGTCTCTCCCAAGGTTCTCTCTTTTAATGCTCAGCTGTTTCAAATTTCTTCACAGCCATTATCTTTTCACGCCTCATTCTGTGGTGCTTCTTAGTGTTCTCTGCAAAATTGTAATTTTTTTATTTAAACTTGTTAGCAAATTGTAGCCCGCCAGTCTTTTTAAGTTGTTTTTTTATGAATTGGGTTTTGTTTTTGTTATAACGTTAACGTCTGTGGCATTTATCTGCTATTCCCTCAGTTTGCTTAGCACATAACATGTGTGTTGCCTTGAATTTTCATAGATTGCTTGCTTTTTCACAATTTAGCTCTATGTTTCCTTTTTTCAATGCGCCAAATATCGTGATACGCTAAGCTTCCTTTGAGTAAGTCAAGGTGTTGTTGATCCCTTCAATCACTCCTCTCCCATGTTTTTGTTAGCATTTTTCTAATATTAGTTGCTATCATGATTGATGGGAAGTTTGTTGGATGCACTCACTTTGTTTAATTTATATATAGTTATAGTTATTGTGCTATACACACACATATGCATGCATATGTGTATACTTAATATAGGTGTTTTAATGATCCGAAGTGTAAAATTTGGCATTTTTTGTAGATTTGAAGGATGGGTCAATCATTTGGATGCCTTATAGTGGATCAGTCAACCGCAGTTGTGAAGGAGCACTTTGGCAAATTTGATTCAGTGATGGAGCCTGGGTGTCATTGTGTTCCTTGGTGTTTCGGTTACAAGGCTGCTGGTACTCTTTCTCTGCGTGTCCAACAGATTGATGTTCGTTGTGAAACTAAAACAAAGGTATTTTAGACATCTTTGGAAGTAGATCATCTTTGTGGTAGATGGGGGGCTCCCTTTTCCTTCATTTCACTTTTTGGGTGTTATTATTAGGGATTTCAGGGGTGTTGGTCTTTACTGTTTACAGGACAATGTGTTTGTGACTGTGGTGGCATCCATTCAATACCGAGCTTTGGCTGAGAAAGCTTCTGATGCTTTTTACAAGCTTTCAAACACAAAGTCACAGATCCAATCCTACGTCTTTGATGGTAGGACTATTCTCCTCTGCTTTATTCCTTGTATGCTTGCTTGCTTGCTTACCCCTTTTCTCAGATTATTGGGTCGTGTATACTACGTACTATTTGTGAGGAGTTGGAAACTGGGATATTTATGCTATGAGTTTGCATCTATATGGTTTGCATAAGATTGTTGTTATGTAAATTGGGGACATGGAGATATAACTAATATCTGCTGATGGTGGGGCAGTGATAAGGGCCAGTGTTCCAAGATTGACCTTGGATGCTGCATTTGAACAGAAGAATGATATAGCAAAAGCAGTAGAGGGAGAACTGGAAAAGGTTATGATATTGACCGCTTAAAAATAAATACTAGTAACATTTTGATGTTTATTTATTTTGTTTTATATACCATTAAATTTATAGTCTATTTTTTGTTTACTTTGCAGGCGATGTCTGCATATGGCTTTGAGATTGTCCAGACCCTCATTGTGGATATAGAACCTGATACTCATGTGAAAAGGGCTATGAATGAGATAAATGCTGGTAAACTCTCTCGCTCCCTCTCTGTATACACTAGTTGTAAGACATCTTTCATTAGCGCTGGCTGCACGATTAAGATTTTCTGCTTTTGGCCCCATATTGTTTTAGTTTTTGTTACCCAACATTCCTTGTTTTCTTACACCTGTGATTTTACATTTAAGCATTTCTTGTTACTCTTGGTCCTCTTAATCACTTATCTAACAAAAATCAACCACAAGTTGTATATAAATGGTAGGATATGCGACTGTAACGACAATATTGGCAAGAAACTCATGCTCGTGCACCTAAAACGTAAAAAAAATCAAAGCTTGAGGCAAAAATTGGAAATGAATTAATAATCATGGTACCGAATGATTTTCATCACAAAAAGTTTAACAATTCCAGTCAAATTGCACTATGACTACGTTTGTCACGTCTCTACAATTTAGCTTGTGTGGCATGTGTTTTGCTGTACCACAATCTTGAAGGGTCAAAGCGACTATGCCTTCCTTTTGATATTTTTCCGTTTAGTAGCAATAATCTGTTTATCAGCGTAATAATAACATAAGTAGATTTGGAATTATTAAGCTGAAATCGAGTATACGAAATGCTTTTCCGTTTCAAAAAAGTTTGCAAGCCAAAATAACAAACCCAACAACTTCTGTAAATTTCATATTGATCAACGTACCTTAATCTAATTGTCAATGCTTTTTCCACTTGAATCTGATCATTATTATTATTTTATGTGCCATTGACAAACAACAGCTGCAAGGCTTAGGGTTGCTGCAAACGAAAAGGCAGAAGCCGAGAAGATACTTCAGATCAAGAAAGCCGAGGGGGAAGCAGAGTCCAAGTACCTGTCGGGACTTGGCATTGCACGTCAACGCCAGGCCATTGTTGATGGACTAAGGGACAGCGTGCTTGCCTTCTCGGAGAATGTTCCGGGGACAACAGCAAAAGACATAATGGACATGGTTCTGGTGACTCAGTATTTTGACACGATGAAGGAGATTGGTGCTAGCTCAAAGTCCACCTCTGTCTTCATCCCACACGGTCCTGGTGCTGTGAAAGACATCGCGTCACAGATTCGTGAGGGTCTTCTTCAGGGCAGTAGCATTAAACCTTGAGGGTTTGACGGGAGGACTTCTTGTCCAAAAGTTCTAGTATCGTCATTATTATATTTATTAGGCGCTTATTACTACTTATAGTTATCAGTTAGTTTGACATTGAAACCTGCTATCATTTTATTTGGATTCCGAACATTAAAATTGTTTCCACAGCACACTATTTCATCCAAAATTTTAAAAAAGGCATCCACAGCACATTAAAATTGCAAGTTTTATGAAGGTAAACATGTCCTATACTCCTATACAAGCTTAGACCAGCTTCAGTCCAGTTCCGAACCTGCCGATTCCAATAAGAATAAGGGCGACCAGAACCTTTACTAGGTCAGCACCAAGCGGTAAGCATGTTTTGTGTAGGATCTAGTCAGTTCTGTTCCTATTTGAAGGAACCGAAACTGGTTTGGATCAACTCCGCACACTCGTTTGGCCCATAACAGAAAAGCAAGTGTGACCACTTTAATTCTTTTAGCAGTTGTGGAATTAAAACCGGGTCCAGCCCTATGTCCACAACAATTAAAGCTTATTGCACAAACCAATATTTGAAATTTGAATCACTTTTTATCTTCAGTTTTGAAAGGTATTTTGATTTTAATGCTCGGAGTGTGTTACTTGGAATAGTTCAGATTAAAAATGAAATATTTTTACTTTTTACAAATTTGTTTGGATGGATACTTGGTATCCCTAGACGGCTTCACATCTAGGTAGCCGGTCTAGAGATACTTAAAAGGATTAGGAATTTTGGCTATTAACCCTTAAAATTGAAATGCTTTTAGGAAGTTACTAAAAAGAATAACCTTATGAACATTTTCAAGTCTTCATTACATTACATCGGGATTGGGCTGTTGCATGCACCAAACACTTCATCTGTACCAATTCCCAAACTTCATTGTTATTCTTTAACATTCCATTAACAAAAAGTCTAACACAGCTTGCCAAACAAGGAAAAATGATACCTATTCTGTTCCTTGCAAGTTGTAAAGCACAACTTTGACTCTCCAAATTTAATGTAAATAGTTTACATTGACACTAATCCAGGCTCCTTGCATCAATCCACACAAACTATGAATCCCCAGAACAAGATAGAGTAAATTCAATAAATGAAATTCAGATAGTAATACGTATAGTTTAGTGGGTGAAATGAGAATGTATGAAGCAATTCAGAGTTGGAGGCATAGCCGCATAGTTTAAACTTTAATCCAATCACTGATATTCATTTTTTTATGCAGTCTACTAAAGCCGCCAAACTAACATCAAGAATAACATGTTCTTGAGCACATGTAACTGTAAACTGTTCATCAATCTCTATCTCAAAAACACAATTATTACGGGATGAGAGCCAATGCCAAACCAAACTTGGGGCTCTTGTTAACAGACTTAGTGTCCACTTCTCCTGACACAGTGAAGAAGGATTTGGGGCGCCATTCACGCTGAAGAAGAGCACTTGCCTTCCCAACATTATTCAACCTCGCCTTCACTGTTGTCAGTGGATCCAACTGGTGTTGGGTACCAAGGGTGAGGGTATTCTCGGCTTTTGAGAAACTATGAGTCACCTCAGCACCAATGGAAGTAAATGGTTTCACATTGTGATAGTACGAGGCACTCAGGATGTCACCCTTCTCGTTCCTGATAACACCACCAATTACTGATCAGAACATGACACCAAAACACATGCTATGTATACCAAGATTAGGGACCAATTAGGTAGCGTTATTCAGCTGATTCTGCTAGCCAGCAACACAAGCAGGCTGAGTAGGCTTTCACAGGCTTTGACTTGCTTAATTGGCAGCCACTTCAGCATCTTTAGCCATTTCAGTCAAATAACCCATACCAACAGGCTATGGATGAGTCAAGCAGATGATTGGATAATTATGTAATCAGGTTATGTGGTCGGATGGATTTAAGAAAATATATTTTTTAATTCATATAAGTTCGATCTAGCCATTGCATTACAGATTTTCATGTGTAGGCATGATAGAACAATGCATATAATGATATTTTAGCACTGATATAATTTCTTATTAGAGAAGCATCCTATACATGGATATGGAAAACTCAAAGTGTCGGATGGATTTAGAAGATCCTTTTTAATGTGTCCAATACTTCAATGCTTAAAAAAGAAATAACAGATGGATTGGATCCAGTTCACCATTACTAATTTTTGAGCGAATGGGTCAGATGGATGGTGGGCAAGTTGATTTAGTTCTCATCCTATAACTGATATGTGAAAGATAACATCACTTACAGACTCAAGGCAGCAATGAGGTCAGAATTTGTGAAGCTCAATCCAGCATTGCATCTGGTAAAATCTCCCGCTTTCGTGTCAAAGCACAGATCAGTACCAAGTGCTAGAACATTAGTTCCCACAACCCCAGCAAAGTTGAGTACTGGGGTGGCTGTCAAAGCAACACTGGTGTTTATCCCAACATACTTGTGTAAATATTGAACTTCAATCTGTATGGCCATGATAACAAGGTAAAAAATGCTTTATGAACTTGGGGCTCACATAAACAGTGAGCACTAGGTAATTTCATTTATAAAGATTTAATAATGATTGAAACCATAGAATTGAAATAATTACCTTTTCTGATCTTTGCTCAGGAACTCTGAAACTAATAATAGCCTTCAATCCTGGAGCAGGTTCATCAATAGTAATAGTTGTGAAAAGCTGAAATTTGAGAGACCAAACAAATATAGTTTCATTACATTGTCAGATACCATTTTTTTGAGTATAGATAAAACCTTTATATACAGGTCTTATAAGGAAAAATGACAATATAAGAGCATATGAGTAGTCATTCATTACTCAGTAGTCTCTAGGGATGGTTAAGTAATGCTAGAAGCCTAGAATCCCACCAGGGGACAGGGACATAGGGTAACTAAAAAGATTTGAATTCAGTTACTCAACAACAAACGGTAACTTTTTGTTATGTACGACAGGTCACCAGTTAACATTTTGCTTGTGTCATAAGACAATATATGCATTTCTGGTGTGCCCAAAAATCATCAAAGCATTTATACATTATGGTCTTCAACTGCTCAATTAGCATGCAAGTACGCAACACATACATATTTAGGAAAATTCACAGGCTATGAAATAGACAAGTACAGAACTTGCCAAGTGAACCACAATGATGCCACTCATGCCAGTCTGGCAGATGGAAATGTCTTATGGAATATGGAGAAGAGAAGAAGAGAATATTTACCCACACATGATTAGCATCTAGGAGAGCTACACAAACATAAATATATAATGATCCGTATAACCGTATTAAGCAATTTATGCACTATATAATGTGCATCGATGCATCAAGTGAGACTCACATTCGAGTTGGTGTCAACTTTGATATCAGTGATAACATTCTTGTTCTTAAGCTTAATGTTAACATCTGCTACAAACACATCTCCTTTCTTTGATCCTGATGATGTTATAGCCTGTGAAAATGACAATGGAAAAAAAACTAAAATGGCTATAATAGTTATCGGGCAGGATTACTCATGAAAGACATCTATGTATTTTAACCAATCAAGCGCATTAGGCATGCTGTAGTTATGTGGACAGATTTACCATCACATTAACTCTCAAGAGTTGCAGAATTTGTAACTTTAGTTACACAGTAAAAAATCTGCTCAAAACTCTTAAAAGAGAAAAAACACTCCAATAATCGGATGTAATGAGAGATAGCTGCACTAGATTAAGTAAGCCGATCCGATTAAAAGGAAATGAAACTCACAACTCCAGTGGGCGATAGAGTACTGAATGTGAACTTGTGGTCGGTCTGGTAATCCTTGTACAGAAGATCTAATCCAATTAAATCGTAAACAAACCAACGTATCAGCAAATGTACATTAGAAAACAAAAACCAACATATGATTATCAATGATGAATATGCTTCAAAGCTCATTAGTGAGCCCGTGTAAGGAGAGACAGACCTCGAGCTTTCTTTCCGATGTCAGTGTAAAGACCAGGACCCTTTCCCATGCTTGCTTGAATCGAGCAAGAAATATTGAAAGACGGTGACAAAGAGCTATGAAGCTATGAAGGCCAGTCAGGGAGAGGGGTAGCAGGTGCCGCGCTATGTACAACAATCAACAAAGCCCTAAATTTTGGACCGTATACGCGATTTTCCAGCAGCTTCAAGTAAAATCTAGACCGCTGAAGTGAAAAGTCAAAATTAGGAGTGAGCCTGGTACTGAAGCTCGCTAATTAGTAAAACTCGTGATGTACTTGCGAAGTTTCTAAGTGTTTGATACGATTTGGTTCTAAGCTTGGTTTCATTTCATATCATGTCGTTTCAAAATAATACAAAATGGTACGGTTGAATGTCAAACTAATGCTAAAAATTTTTGGAAAAAAAATTGCAATTGGTAAATCCCTCACGATGATCACTTCGCATGACATGTTGATAAAATACAAAGAAAGCATAGTAAACGCCAGGAAAGATTCAAGAGACTTACATTTTCATTTTTAAGTTTGCAAATACATAAATAGTGCAACACACTTAATGAAAAAATATAGTAAGATGATGACACATCGGAAATAAATCATTTTCAACGAGTTCTTGTTCAAATATTAGTTCTAACTCATAGTTACATCATATTGTTGGATGTTATAGAAAAACCCATCATCAATTTTTTCCTAGATTGAATATTAGTTCTAACTCATAGTTACATCGTAGAAGCTAAGATTTAAATCATACTCCTTTTGTCCCTTAAAACTTTGTCAACTTTCCTTTTTTGGATGTCCCACTAACTTTGTCACTTTCCCTTTTAAGTAAAGAATTTGTGGTTCCAATTAATTCTCTCTCCTATGCACAACTCTCAACCACACACTTTTCATTTTATTAATCCCTGTGTCAGTCAAATTTGACAAAGTTTTAAAGGATGAAGGGAGTATTACGTAGTACTTCTGTTCTGAAAAGGTTCGCCATATTGACTATTCTTGGTCAATGATGACAAACTTTGGACAATAATTTTAATTATTATATACGTAGTATATAATTTATAAATTTTATACTTTTATGAAAATATTTTTAATAAGGAACATTTTTATATAATTTTCAAATTCTAAATAATTTCGTATTAAAAAATATCATTGGTTAAAGTTGATTGTCATTGACCAAGAAAAGTCAATTTGGCAAACCTTTTTGGGATGAATGGAGTATTTATTAGTTACAAAACTACACAAATGTTATACAAAAAATAGTCATACACATTATACTACGGGAAGTTAGTAGTGATTAGTTTTTTAAAAAACTTTATCATTTTGTACATATATACCATTATATAACATAAATTACCTAAAAGAATAGAATAAAAGAATTTATATAAACACACATTTAGCTATTTTAATGACGAATGAAATCATACTTAGGCTATAAAGTTATTGGTCTAAATAAGATATTTATTGGGATGAAAAAATATAAAAATATCACATCTATTAATTTTGAACAGTCTGATCCGGTCCGGTATTTTTCGGTTCTCAAAATCTAGAACCGGCTTCGTACCCATTTCAAACGGTACAATTTCAGTTTGGGATAAAACTCTATAGAACCTTTTAAATATCCGATATTCGTTTTGATACCACTACGGGTCGATTCGGTACCAGTTCGATTCGATTTTTATGTCTATCCCTAATGAAAATCGTGCCGTTACGAGATCGGGGCAAAGTTTATTGCATTCACAAAAATCCACTTTTTCATATAATTTTTTCTTTATTTTATTAATGAAGTACATTTAAATATATTTTTTATAATTCAGCAAATTTAGTTTCTTCTACCAGAATCCGATTAATTTCCACAAATTTAATTAATTTCAAAGGATATCGATCAGACAGTTCAAAATTGGGAATTCACAAAGGATGTGGTACAAATGGGGCAAGACTCTTTTTCTTTTGCTTTTAGCTTTATAACTATTCGGTACATAACAAATTAACAAGTAGTGTAACAGTTAGTTGAATGAGTGGTATAATTAACTTTTGAGACTTGCAAATTATACAGTGAGATTCAATTTTCATCTTCTTCATCAATTTCTATAGATTCTCCTTCTCTGTTTTTTCTTTTCTTTTTTTCTATCTTCATCAAAATACTAATAATCAAATCACGAATTTGCTTCTCTTTATTTTTAACTTAAATTATGTACAGATCTAGGATTCCTTCTTCTTTATCAATTCACAACTCAAACTTTGTTAATGGTAAATAATAAAATAGTTATCAATATAAATAATAAAATAGGTAATGAACAATTTCAATCATGAATATCTTTAATTAGTTATCAGTATAAATGATACAGAGTAGAATAAATTAATTATATTTTGAAATTTTACTTTGGAGACAATTTTAAATGTAGAGCTATGGAAGAGCCACATAGTAAGGAAGTAAGCGGTGGTGTAGCTCAAAGATTATATCGGGCAGGACCGGTGCGAAGATAGTTGAGGACCTAACGTACTTATCGAACCTTATACGTTTAAAACAGTTTTCAATTTTGACTTTTGAGATAGGTCGCTCAGGACCTAACGTAAAACAAACATGCATTTTTGACGATTGTAAAACAAACATACAATAGACATCTATCGACCAGTTTAGACTAGACTAAACTATATTTAAACCGATCAAGTTAGACCAGAAAATTTCAAACTAACTAAAAACATGCATTTTTTATAATTATAGTTACATGATTAAAAGCTACACTGAACATTGTATTAAAACAAATAATTAATCGTATGATTAAAAATTACTACAACAATATTATAATAGAAAGCATTAATGTTACTCAAATGATATACTTTTTTAAGATAGAGTGGGTACTTAAATAGAAAAGGGTTGACACTGGGAATACGAAATGGTATTAAGTATGATGATGTTGAAGTGTTAGACCTTAATCAAGCTTGTATTAGTAAATGGGTCAACGTAATAAGTGCACCATTGTGAAACTTTAATTACCATGCATCATAGACTATTGTGTCCTTGACCATATGCAAAAAGGCATGTCCAAATCCTGATTTTGTGCCTCATTTTAATTCAACGTGTGATATATAATTATATATTGATTGTAGGTGCAGATTATACATTATACCATGGATCCATCTAGGTCAATAAAATACAATGTCAATTTTGCTCACATGATAGTGACTCCATCAACATATGGATTCTGATCCCTTTGAACTTGACATTTCTTAATGACCAATTTTGATTATTAATATCTTTAATTGTTTTTTACTAATATTTTGAAATTTTTACTTGGGGTATACTTTTTAAATTTAGAGTTATGAGGAGCCTAAGGGTGTATCAAATTTAGCTGGTACGGAATTTGTCAAGATAAATTTTGACATAAATAAATAAAAAATTGATTTAGGGTAGGTCGAAGCTAGTATATCCCTCCCTAGAAGAGCTGGCTTTTTTAGCACGTTCAACATGTTCAATAGAACGGTGCCTCCAAATTACTACCAATACATCCATTTTTGTATGTATTTACATGTAGAAAAGGACTCTCTCTTTATTTTTGTCCCATTCAGAAGTTGTGTTCATCAAATCGAAATATCATAATCTATTATGGAATTAATGATTCAATAAAGTTTTTTATCAGTACTTTCACTCATGTTTTATATTACTCAAATTGACTGAGTGATGAGTTGTGTTGCTTTAAATCAAGTATGAATTGATTTTTAGAATTTTTATTACATTATTTGATGAATATTCAATTGATTTCAGTATAAGTATTTACGTTGTTGAGTTTCTTAAAATTTTGTATATTAATATGGGGTCATTTTACATTTGGAACGAAGTCTCCAAATTGATTAGACGGCTCCAAATTCTCCAAATTAATATGGGGTCATTTTACATTTGTATATTAATATGGGGTCATTTTACTTGTAAAGCAATATCGTAGACTCGTATGTGTAGGTGGGAGGGTCGGTCATTTTTCTATGACAACAAATGTAATGCTAACGCTACTGCAATTATATAAATCAATATGGGATTTCACGCCCTAATTGATACCGAGTATTAATAATATAATAATGATAATTTACACAATTAAAAGCCACACTAAACATTGTATTAAGGCACAAAATCCCATATTTTAAAACTCATATTTTAAAATGCATGTCTTAATAATACTTTACTTTATAAATGTATGTTAACTACGTTACAAAACATTCAAAGGATCATTTTTTATAGTCAGAGTAAGTATTTATCTAAATAAGAAGGGGGCCGGTTGACACTTGATTAGGAATTGTTATTAGCTAGGTCGATCATGATGATGATGAAAACCATGATCAAGCTTGTAATATTCTAGTTAAATGGGAGATCTTTAATGGGAATGTTTTCAGTTCCAGATCAGATCGACCAGATTAGACTTAAAAATACTAGATCAGACCAGACTTAAATAGAGCAGACCAGACCAGTTCAGACCAAATCAAACCAGACTTATACTGACCAGATCGATCAAATTAGATCAGACTTAAACAGATCAGACAAGCTCAGACTAACAAATTACTGTCCAAGTAAAAACATATATCCTTAGTATTTGGGTAAATTATTAACCCAATTACTTATTTTGTAAATTAAATGTGTGTTGTAGTGGTTGTATTTAAGCACTACCATTATTGAAAATTAACATGAAACATCATGTAAACATTACAAATCGCATGAGACATATTGCATTGAAGAATGGCAAAATCAATGGTGATGGTTAAAGAAATAAACAGTTTAGTAACATGCACCATTGATAAACATGCACATGAAATATTGGTATGACAAATTGTAAACCCCAAGAAAACATGTTCCCAGGCAGAATGGCAAAATCAATGGTCATCTAAACAAATAGATACATTCATAGATTGTGAACCTCTAAATAAGTGATGGCTTTCCCAATGGTTCGGACACGCCATACACATAACCAAAACTTAGCATATAAACCACAATTTTCACTCTCAATTGTTCACGGCCAACCCAATTTCTATCACCATCTTTAGGGTAGGTCGGGTCGGGAACGGATCGGAGTCGGACCGAACCACCCGCAACAAATATTATTTGTTGCCGGAGAAAATATTCTTTAAATAAATACCCAAAAAAAATCAGTAAAAATGGGGGGTTTGGGGATTAATAATAGCTCATTTGCCAATTTGTTGCTTAATTGTGGTGCAGTTATAATAATGATGGTTCTTCCCATGGTTATGGGCAACATATTTGGAGATTTGGATGAGGCCTGGAGGAGGAGGCAATTAGAAGCCCGGGAGCAGGCTCTCAACACTTATGAGCCCGATCCTTTTAATGTCACTGTCGCATTCAATCGTGAAGTTCAGAAGTACGTACGTTTTTAATTTATTAGCTTCCCTTAATTAATCTGGTAAATTTCATCTCATTATTATTTGATTTGTATTTCTAAGATTGAAATTTTATGATTTTTAACCAAAGTTAGTATCTTTAAAAAAAACAAAGTTAGTATATATGATGAATGTATTTGTTTATTTAAGGTTGTTGAGAAGTAAGTTATACTCCGTACTACATAATGTATTTTTATAAGTTATTTTATTGCTTCTTTTAATTAAAAATTCCTGTCGAATACACACTTCTCAGTTCTCAATATTTTCCCTATATGTGTGTGTGAGATCGAGAGAGAAATAATGACAATTATGTGAGCGAAATAAAGGTAGCGGACAAAATATGACTTTTTATACTTTAGTGACTATCACAATCAGGGGCGTAGTCAGGAGTAAGAGTTGGGTTGGGCCGTTGCAAAGAATTTTTACAGATAAATTTTTACACATAAATTTTTACAGCAATTTAAAATTTGGGTTGGGCCGGACCCGACTGGCCACCCCTCCACCTCCGCCCCTAATCACAATTGTTAGGCTTCTGCCACCATCTTCCTAAATCAACTCGTAGCGCTTCGTCTCCTCTATAAAAGAGGAAAATGTGTGATACACTGTCAACGATTGCTTTTAATGTAGTGGTAAGCGATTCGATTGTACAACTGATATCGATGCCAAGGTCACGAGTTCGAATCCCATAAGCGCCCACGACCTCGTGTATGTTGGGTGAAAGATGTTGGGGGATTGTTACTTGTTAGGTTTCGGCCAAAATCTTCCTAAATCGACTCATGGCACTTCAATACAATAGTAACTTTAATAACCATGGTTGTGTTCAACTCTACACTATGGTGATCATGCATAGTAACTATTGTAATATTTTTGTCCATATAAATTATATTTTTTAATATTTAAGAAAAAACCATGTATATACATGTGACTTAGTAACTATAGTGGCCACTATGATGTAAACTTTGAAAACAACTATAGTCACTAATAGTTACTAAGTCACATATTTGTCTTTATTAGTAATATTTTAGGAATAATCTCTATATTTAGTCAATTTAAGGGTTTTCACCAAGAATGTAAAAATACTAGTACTAATTAAAAGTGATATTTTTATTCATTATATTTACAGTGGTTATTTCTTTTTTTAATTAACTTGTTGAATTCTTTTAATTAATTAAATTAATTAATGTAAGCTCAACATAATGTGATGCACAGGGCATTATTGTGGAGGGAGGCCGTTGGAGGAAACAGTACCATTAGTAGGAAATTATTGGGAACTAAAAAGTACACAGGTCCATGCAACGCCACCAACCCAATTGACCGTTGTTGGCGATGCAACTCCAACTGGGAAACCAACCGCAAGAGGTTGGCCGACTGCGGCCTTGGCTTCGGTCGGAAAGCGACCGGAGGCAAGTACGGTGAATTCTACGTCGTCACCGACCACACTGACAATCCCACAGTACCCAAACCAGGGACCCTCCGTCACGCCGTCATCCAAACAAAACCGTTGTGGATCATCTTCCAACGTAGCATGAACATTAGGCTTCACCAGGAGCTGATCGTTCAGGGAAACAAGACCATCGACGGCCGAGGAGCACAGGTGAGCAGAGGAATTAATGATGATAAACTTTGACAAATTATTTTAAGTAATATATTTATGTAAAATTTAATAATTTTATACTTTTATTATACGAAGTACAATTTTTTATATCATTTTCATATTATCAATACATATATACATTGTTTTAAAAATCGTTCTAGACGTCCGATTAGTCCCCGTCTAGGTGATGGCCGGACACGCGGATTTTTGTCTAGGCGCCCTGACTAATTGGTTTGACACCTAGGTGAATTAGTCGGCTGACTATGACGCCTAGTTGCCCACCCAGGGCGCCTAATCACCGCTTAGAGCATCTAGATTCGCCGAACAAGTTTTTGTTTTTTATTTTCTTTTTGTAAGAGATATGTACATTTAACTTTAATCACGAATATGAAGAAAAATACTTGTAGATTAAGATAAAAACTACATATGTTTGTATATTTACTTAAATTTTATTATTATTCAATATTTATAACATAATGCAGTTAAGTGATTAGTAATCATACTCCGTATATTATTGCATGTGACAATTCTATCATTCATGGATGTTAATATGCTTGTGTGTGTGTATTTTTCATACACACACAAACACGATATTACCATTTTACTATGTGTTACTTATCATATTATATTTGTGCAAAAATATTAATAAAAATACTCCCTCCGTCCCTTAAAACTTTGTCAGCTTTCCTTTTTGGGACGTCCCAAAAAACTTTGTCACTTTCCTTTTTAATCAATTATTTTAGGAATAACTATCAAATAAGCCCTCGAACTTACAAAAAAATGCAAATCAGCCATTTTATATAAAGCTCTGTCCGGCCATTGCCATTTGAGGCGGTTTCCGGTGGAATTTTTCGATTAATTTTTTTTAGCATCTTATTCATAAAGTCTAATTTACTCATACCAAATTTAAGCTAAAAATTCAATCGGGAAGGCATTAAAATAAATTTGTGAAGTTAACTGCGTAGTTAGATAGCGCAGTATATTTAAGAAAATCATTTGATTGCCTTATCGGTTAAATGTTTAGCTGAAATTTGGTATGGGTAAACTAGACTTAATGAAGAAGATCTAAAAAAATTCATCAAAAAAATCTACCGGAAACCGTCCCAAATGGAGACGGCCGGACAGAGCCTCCTATAAAAAGGCTGATTTGCACTTTTTTTGTAAGTTCGAGTGCTTATTTGATAGTTCTCCTATTATTTTATAGTTTTTGTTATTTCTCTCTCCTCTGCACAAACCTCAACCACACAGTTTTTACTTTATTATTATCTGGACCGTTCAACTTTGATAAAGTTTTAAGGGACGGAGGTCGTACAATTTATGTCTCCGACTAATCTCCGCCTTTTATATATATTAGGCTAAAGGATCCAATAGGTACATGAACTAACTTAAAGTGTTCAATTAGCCCCTTATATAGGAGGTTCTGCCCGACCGTCGCCAATTGGGGCGGTTCCCGGTAACAATTTTTGATGAATGTTTTTGAGCATCTTCTTCATTAAGTCTAGTTTACCCATATCAAATTTCAGCTAAAAATTAAATCGGGAAGGCAATCAAATGATTTACCGAAATGTACTGCGCTGTTTAACTGCGCAGTTATCTTCAAAAAATCAGTTAACTGCCTTTCCGGTTGATGTTTTAGCTGAAATTTGGTATGAGTAAACTAGACTTAATGAATAAGATGCTCAAAAAATTTCATCAAAAAATTCTACCCGGAACTTCCCTAATTGGCGACGGCCGGGCAGAACCTCATATACAAGGGGCTAATTGAACACTTTAAATTAGTTCATGTACCTATTTGACCCTTTAGCCTATATATTATGGATCAAAGTTGGACACAATTTACTTGAAAAATCAAATTTGACTAAATAAAAAGTGATGAAGGGAGTATTATATCGTAGTACATAAATATATAAGTAAAAATATTTATAGATTATAAAAATTATCCTTAAACTAAACTTGCAACTCCACCGTACCACGGGCGTAGATCCACATCTCCGCCGGCGCAGGAATCACCTTGCAGTTTGTGAGCAACGTGATCATCCACGGGCTCTACGTCCACGACATTGTGCAGGGCAGCGGAGGGCTTGTGAGGGACGCCTCTGACCACATTGGGCTTCGCACAGTGAGCGATGGTGACGGGATATCTCTATATGGGGCGTCGAACATCTGGATCGACCACGTATCGATGAGGAACTGCAAGGACGGGCTGATTGACGTCATAGAAGGGTCGACAGGGGTAACCATATCAAACAGCCACTTCACGGATCACAATGAGGTGATGTTGTTTGGGGCGAGTGATAGCTCGTCAGTAGACGCAATCATGCAAATCACAGTAGCTTTTAACCACTTTGGGAAGAGACTGGTCCAAAGAATGCCAAGGTGCAGATGGGGATACTTTCACGTGGTGAACAATGATTACACGTACTGGAATATGTATGCCATTGGTGGTAGTCAGCACCCCACCATCATTAGTCAAGGCAATCGCTTCATTGCCCCTACCGATAGGTTCATGAAAGAGGTATGTACGTACGGAGTACTTAATTTTTTTTGGATGAACCTGTAAATATATACTACCTCCGTGCCTTAAAACTTTGCCAAAGTTGACCGGCACGGAGAATAATAAAGTAAAAACTGTGTGGTTGAGGTTTGTGCAGAGGAGAGATAAATAACAGAAACCACAAAATAATTGATTAAAAGAGAAAGTGACAAAGTTTTTTGGGACGTCCCAAAAAGGAAAGATGACAAAGTTTTAAGGGACGGAGGGAGTATATATCATCCGAAAAATATCATGTACATATGCGTACAAAACTATAAGGCAACCTACCAACAAAGTTGGTCAGCATCTAATCAAGCAAGACACACACCCAATAAAGGGTCAATCCAAAAACAACCAAGACAAAAAGCCAACAGAGGGTGTTGCAAGATGCACACACCAAAAGTTCAACAAAACATACACTAGTCGTGGCTACAGAAATCAAAAAGTGATCAAATCGTAAGGATAGATGTAGAGGATCTTGTAAACCACGTGCTTGATCTTTGCTACCAATATTTTCAACATGCCAATATTTTTCTATGTACAGATAACTAAAAGGGACTATGCAACTCAAGCAGAGTGGAGTCAATGGACATGGAGATCACAAGGAGATTTGTTCATGAATGGAGCATACTTTGTTGAATCCGGTGATCCAAACTTCTTGCAAAAACATCCAAAGTTGTACGATGGCATAACTCCATTTAAAGGAGTCGAGGTAACATGGTTGACCAGATTTGCAGGAGCGTTAAATTGCAAGAAAGGTCAACTATGTTGAATAGAATATTATTGTAATATGGATCGATCGCCCACTTTCACGTTTTGATTGATAAATTGTATATACATACTTTGTATGGATCCTTTAACAGACACACATGGTGCATTGATCTTCCTCAAAGAACTAACATTAGCTATAGAGAAAATTGCCAAAATGTTTCGCTATTTACTATATAACATGATCAATTTTATATCAGTGTGTGATCAAAACTCAATTTACATCATCTCATTTAATTGTCGAGACGGTTCTAGGGTCCTTCTAGGATGAGGTGTTATTCTTTTTTCATGAGCAGTGTTACTCAGGAGCGGCATGGTACCATTTCATTTCAAAGCAAGATGATACCCTATTATACCTTTCTGAGACGATTGAATAAAAATTCAAACACTGAAATGCTTTTTAAGGAACAACTGTTGTCAAAATGGGGCCATTTTTTTTGTATACTGCTTTCTTATTAAAATTATTTTTAAAAGATCTTCATGTTATTAGGAGGCTATGTCCGGCCGTTGTTATTTGGGGCGTTTTCTGATGTAATTTTTTTATACAATGTTTTGAGCATATTATTCATTAAGTCTAGTTTACTCATACCAAATTTCAGCTAAAATTTCAATCGGGAAGGCATTCAAATGAATTCTTGAAGATAACTGCGCAGTTAAAAGCGCAGTTATCTTCAAGAATTTATTTAAATGACTTCCCCATTGAATTGTTAGTTGAAATTTGGTATGAGTAAACTAGACTTAATCAATAAGATTCTCTAAACTTTTCATCACAAAATTCCACCGGGAATTGCCCCAAATAACGACAGCCGGACAGAGTCTCCTATATAAGGGCTTATTTGACCTTTTTTGGTTAGTACGTGGGCTTATTTGCCCCTTTTTCCTAATTTCTTTCAAAGGTATTTATCATTCACTAGTGGAAAAATGTTAATTAGAGACGCTTTTTTTCGGCCACGTGCGCCGCTTTGAAGCGCCTCTAAAAAATGTGCCGCAAATCATTATTAGAGACGTTTTTTAATTCAGAAGCGCCTCTGATTTTATTTTTTCCCGGAAAGCTTGCGGCGCTTATTAAATAAGAAGCGTCTCCTAATTTTTCATGTGTGCGGCGCTTATAGGTGAAAAGCGCCTCAAATTTTGTTTTGTTTTAATTTATGTTTGTTTGTGGCGCTTAAAGCACAAAAGCGCCTCTAATTTATGTTTTTGTAAATTTATTTCAATGAATTTCAGTAGATTTAGAAGTTATTGAAACGACTGCATCAATCCAAATATTCATTCAATAAAATTTAAATGTAACGAAATAGAGATAATAAATAAAACCAAATTTTTTATTTTCATGTTAACTCACAATAGTGCTCGGAACACAATACAATTAACACATATACATTACATCTAAAAATAATCTAGACTAGATATTCTAAATATATGATTGAATACTTCCGGTGCAAATGATCCTCTCCTTGGACTCTAAACCTGAATGTCTGTATCACAATTAAATATGAACTCAAAATTATAATGAGTTGTTTACGGTTGAAAACACAACTTATTAAAACATGTGATGCCATGGTGAATCAAACCGAGATGCCATGGTTGCTTATGCCATGTTTGAAAACCTAGAAAACAGAATGAAAATGTATATATAAATAAGTATGTGATGCTACACCAGCAACAAACACAGCAAACCAGACCTCCTCACCTGCAACAATGTTCACTCATCATTTCAATTCTCACAAACTAGTAAAACGCCATCATCTCAAGTTTTCTTAAACTGAATTTTCTTAAAACACCAACATAAAAAATCTTAATAAACTGAATTACAAGAAAAGCAACTGTACAGTTTCAATACCAGTAACGCAAATAATCAAGTCATAATTTTCTTAAAACACCAACATCCACCAGATAATAATGTCAAAAAGTTTCAAGCATGTTATTAGAACTTGAAATCAATATAAGAATCTCATACCAAAGTGATTAAATTTTCACACCCGAATAAGAATAGCAGACCCAATGTTAAACTAATATATACAATCGATAAATTCAAATACCAATGAAAACATACATAGTATATATATATATGTAATAATGTTAATGTATAAATATATACATGTGCTATAATTTAAAATGCATATACAGAAAATGCTTTTAAATGCTTACATTGTTGAATCCTTTTAACCTCTATCAACCAATGATACTTACAATTTGTATAACAACACAAAAAATAGTAAAAGTTAACTCATAATAGAGCAACCAGAAACTTTTTTTACAACAAAGGCCAATAATTGTCACAAATATAGGAGAAACTCAAAGCAAGTTAGTAACATACATGAAAATAGTACATGAAAGTTGTAAAGTTTTCGCATCAAACTTGATACATCATACATAAACCATATTAAATCTTACGGAGTATATACAACAGAAAATAAAGAAGAAAGCACTTACTAGTAGAATCATCATGCCGCTGGATCAAATGTACTGTGAATCTATGAATGAAAACCAAGATCTTCTTTAATTATATCATCTGCAACCTCAACGAGATAAAATCAATATATAAAACCGTAGTAATTCTATGATCTAAACACAAATTATATTCAGTTAACATTAAACGGTGAAAATTATAAACTAACAAAGCAATAGAATTTAGTTTTCTGACCCACACTACAAAGACATTACGGATGAAGCAGCGGAGCCGACGCTATGGGAGCCAAAGACAGCACACCAGCCGCTTGGACAACTTTGATGACGGTGTAGAGGTGAAGTCGGTGTTCTGGCGCTGAAATGGTGTTAACAGCAATTCGGGGCACAACGGTCACCGGCGGTGATGAGGTGGAGGCAACACACTAGCTAACGGCGGCTTAGTACCGGTGTCAACTCGGTGGTCGCTAAGCTTTGTTCGTCATTGCGGTGGTCGTTCAGCTTCGTTCATCGTTGTGGGTGGTCTCTAGGTTGCCACTCTGCTCTATCGTACCTCTGCCCAACCTCACAAAGCGATCTATTAGGTTTAACCTCTTATCAATTTGTTTAGAATTCTTAAAGGCCTTTCTCATCTAAAAGTCCATTGGAATGTTCGGAACCCGGTTAAAGACGTAGAGGCGCTTCTTCCTAAGAAAAGCGCCGCACGCGGAAGAAATAAATCCGAATAAATTATTCTTTTTAACTGTAGAGGCGCTTGTTTCCTCAAAAGCACCGCATAGAGAATATATTTTTAATAAAATAAATTCGAATAAATTATATGAGGCGCTTATATGAATAGAAGCGTCGCACGCGGAAAGAAATCAATTTTTAAACATTCAGAGGCGCTTTTTGATAAAAACGCCTCAAATGAAGCGCCTCTATTTACACTTTTTCCACTAGTGATTGTCTATTTTATTATTTTTTTCTCATGATCGTTCAACTATAGGTTCTTACAAATGTTGTTATTAGCCATGTAGATCTCAACTTAATTCAGCGTGGTTATAAGAACACTTAAATACAAAGCAGATCAAAATAGAACACAATTCCATATCCTATGCATGAGTTGGTAGTATTTATAAATATTTGTTTCGAAATTCTTGATTAGTGGTGTTGAACCCGTCTAAGAAACATAAGGGCGGGGTGATTTTTGTATAGTAGAATTTATCATTATTTATGAGTTCTGCAAACAAAAAATGTAAAAGTAGTGAAACAAAGTTCACACACAACGTACTTTACGAGAAAGTATATCTTAGATCAAAATTGATGAAACCAACATTGACATCCCTGAAAGGATTTAAACCTTTTTCTTACTAAATAAGCCTTTAAAACAATATAATTGATCTTTGAGTCTACCTTAAGCCATCTCATTCAAACAAACACTTGACTTATGTCTGTAGTTTGTATTGTGGATGTACATGTAGTCCCTCAATCTTCACAAGATCCCCTCTACATTTACATGAATCATGTGAAAGGACATTTAAGTATTTGCTTCTCAAAAAGAAAGATGTAGGTATGTAAGTAGTGCTAGGGGTCAAAACTTGGGAGTTTTAGAATTATGATGGAGAATATTGTATGGAGTAGGAATATATACATGTGGTATGCATATGTATGTGCAGTGGGATTTGAATGATCTAAAAATATTATCCTCTATAGTGTTTCGATACTTCAAAGTGGTGCATGGAGAGAACAGTACTTTATGAGAACCGTGTTTCAAATATAGCTCAAAACATGATATTATATGTAGGTTTATATTTTTCTTGAAAAGAAAACCCAATTATATTATTTCAAGCAATCATTCGCTAACTGGATCAAAATACAACTCGGGCTAACATCAAAATAATCACTACCCGCATTGGATAATGTTTCCCTAGCTAGCTTAAGGAACACACAGTTCGCAGATCGTTTCAAATCTAAACAACAGACCTAGATTCATCATGAAGAATTTGTCTATTATCGTCGATGATAATATCAACATATGAGACTCCTGAATATTCCTTAAGTCTCTTCGTGATCATCTTGACATATGTTTATATCGATACCACTCAACTCCATCCTTGATCGTTCGCCCATGTGATTGATGCCCTAACTCCAAGTAATTCTGCGATATTAGCTGACCAATCTCATGTGTGAGCTTGCCATCATGATCTCTATCAACCCATTCCCAATCTCTTCTTCCCATACAGTCATCTGTAGCTCCATCAACATTAATCTTAATTGTTCCAAGGGTAGGCTTAATCCAACGAGTCTCTTTCTTTGTGGTTGCTCCACTCGGCACTGTGTTGTTCTAAGCTGCCGGCCACTCTAGCAATACAGAAGCTCCTATGTTAATTATTTGTAAAGCATTAAAACAATGGTTATTCCATACCACATCATTACGCTCATTCCATATGCCCCACATAACAGTGATAAAATTGCATCAATCCTCCTCTTCCATAGAACTAAAATGTTTCTCCATCAACTTTTGCCAAGATGACACAAGTTGTCGAGACTCTTTACAGCTTTTGCCTAGACCTTGGCTACTACCCGACAATTTATCTTTTAAAAGGTGGGTCATTGTTTCATCGTTCTTTGTTGCACAACTTAAAACCTCTCGATACATTCACCTTCTGTGTTCTTAGTGTATCCGTCGTTGGTAAAACATATGCCATCACCCCTACCAAAAGAAATGTTCGACTTTTGTCCAGTCTACGCAAGTACCCTCCTCAAACTCATTGATCTGCTTCATATTCCCTGTTTTGATTGTATATTGTCCTCAGGAATCCCACGTCCACAATAACCATCTTTTATCTCCCTGTGATTAAGAGGAATACTAATGGTAGGTAACATGTCATGTTCATTAAAGGTGACTCTTACTCTTTCCAGATTCCAATCTCTTAATCTTCGAGTAAAGTTCCAAAGGGCATTGTCATGCCCCAGACTGCATCTAGGCGTGTGTACAACCGCCGTACAATCAAGAGACGTCACCCGCGAGTCACACTCACTCGATTGTACAAGGCATCCATGAACATTGTTCATACCATACTCAGTAAGTAAATATACATAACAACATCACAATTTAGATTGAATAAATAGCGGAAGTATTCAATAGCTATCACGGGCCACATATGGCAAAATGTGGGCTCGCGGGCCCAAAACAAGTATTCATTACAAAATATCCATGAGCATAGTTTATAGTTTCAAAATAATAAAATAAGCATGAACCACGTCTTCCTTGAGATTCTCTTCACCGGTGCAAAGGTGCATGTAGCAAGCACTAGCTTCAACCTGAAATGGTGCCCCCCCGAATTTTAGTACGTGAATACCGAGCGAGAAGCAGGCTAAATGTAGAATAACTAACGCTTCAAGTATAAGACCCAAACATAGGGTGATATATACGTTTATAAACTTCCCCAAGTCTTTGAAATACATATAAGTATATACGCTTGGAAAATATCCGGCCTATAGGTCATTTGATCAAATCAATAAAATAATGGTGGACTTAGTCCTCAATTTTTCCCATATCCGACCCATTGTTAAGCTTTCCCGCTATAGCCTATGGTTCATTATATAACCGAGTGTTGATAGCCTCACTCAGCTAGTGGGCCACTCTCCCGACAATATCAAGTTTTAGGCACCGCCCGGCCCTGGGTACTTCACCCTTAACATCCGAGTTTTGAGGACACACACCCGGTCCCTGGGTACTCCACCTGATATAACCGAGTTTTGAGGACACACTCCCAATCCCCGGGTACTTCACCCGAACTAACCAAGTTTTGTGGACACACGCTCGATCCCTGGGTACTTCACCCTAACCTATGATCAACCACATATCATACTACATATGGTCTATATCATATCATCGCTAACCACTAAACCAAGTCTTAGAATTTAGTCATCAAATATCAAGCCTTAGCATTTAAACATCATATTCTATGCAATTCCATGCACAAATATACATTTATATAGGATGACCGGGATTGATCCCGCCTCAAACCAAGCACCGAACCGCATTTTATCATTAATCGGCCCTGAAATCCGTTGCCGAAACGGCGCCGGTTCACTACCAGACCAGCTCCGGATCACCTGCTAAATGGTTGAACCGGTGTGGCAGTAGCTTAACCGGCGTCGGTCCGCCGTTTGACGGTGGTCAATGCCTCGTTGACCGCTCAAATCTCCTCCGATTGATCCGAAACTTTTATACAATATGTATTAAATCCTAAACAATCAAAATATGCCATTTTGGCCATTCAAAACATCACATATGTTTTTATATGCATTTTATTGAGTTACATGCATAACATGCCATTTTAGTTCACATTAGCCTAATCACCTTGGCTAATCACATGTTTAAACTCATTTAAACATCATTATGAACACATATAACATTTATCTAGGTAATCTCATCCTTAACCCAAGAGTTATAAGACATTAATTCGTCCACTCACCTTGAATGAGTTTTAAGAAGTCTACCCCTCTCGGTTGAACTCCGGTGAAACTCCGGCAAGATTTGAAGAACTTCGGAAATACCTCTGGCAGCTCTTTCAACATCACAAAAACCCATATCAACACAAATAACCTCTAAAAGGTTATTTTCCGGTGAACCGGTCACTTTGGTTTCTAAGTCCGTTCTTGGACTTAGAACAACCTTCCAACCCCTCATTCTACACTTCTAAATATGTAGAACAATCCTAGGGGTTCCTAGTATGATATATAAGTCATATGGTAGAGAAAAAATTGTTATATGGTCATTACCTTAATCTTTCACACTTTTTCCTCACTTTTCCTCCTTTAAACTTCCCTCTTTAGACTACCTTTGCTTGAGCTCGAATTGCACCAATGGAGGATGGGTTTGAGAGTTTCTTTTTTCTCCTTGGGATGATTTGGTCGAAGTGTATTGATGAGGGAACGGGGGGATGAGTTTCCTTTTGTCTCATTGGACAAATGAGAGTGAGAGGGACCCCTTGGGTGTCAAAATGTGTCTCCCCCATCCCTTCAAGTGTCCTTCAGCCCTCTTTTTTCACTCAACCAACCTTTTTTTATTGACATATTCGTGGGGTAGCCCCCACCCATGTGGGAGGTCACCCCATAATGTCCCAAAGTGTACATTTGGCCCTGAAAGTAATTGTATTTCATTGACTGTTTTAATTATATTTTATTTTATCGGGTCAAATAAAATATATAGCATGTTCCCAATCACTATCGGTTAGAATGAATATACATTCCCCAACTTTAATTTAGAGGTCTCTCTAATTTATTACGGGTTGTTATCTGATAAATTACCAACATCGGTAATTGGGGCTCGTTTGACCAACCGGTCAACTCTACACTCTTTCTATGGCCCAACAAGATTATCCACCAACATGTAACTATTATCTAGACCAAGATGAATATGATATGTAGTCCCGGGATATCGGATGGTCCCCGCTCCCGGTGTGGGTCCCACAGGCAATTTACTATTCACACAAAAGTAAAAACAAAAATTTACAACCTCGTAAATTCATTAATCATTTCTCAAGGTTCAATACATAATTTACACATAAGTAAATATATACTTGGGGACGGTGTTACAAGCAGACATACATTCAGGGCATAGGAAGGCATAGCCTCAATGAACATCTTTAGGAGCACTTGTAGAAGCACTTCCGTGCCTACTTTGGAAAATTTTGTTACTCTAGATTGTGATCTATGTCTTTTGTCGCCCTACAAACGTAGGAAACCCCAAATAACGACTGCACGTCTCCGTAACAGATACACCCAGTGAATTGCATATCCTATCTTTCACCCAATACTAGACATTACGTCTAAAAGAAATTGAGGATTTAGCAAAATTCATCTTTTGACCCGAGCCACATGCATACTTATGTAAAATTTCTTTGATCACGGAGCTTTCCACTTCACTTTCCCTAAAAAAGGAAACTGTCATCTGCAAAGAATAGATGGGATATTCTTGATCCCCACCCCCTTCCCCCGCCACTGATACTGTGGATCTTTCCCACAACTTCATTATTTGAATAAGCAGACTCAAACCTTACACTACGAGCATTAATAATTATGGGGAAAACGGGGGGCCTAACAAAGTTCTATTTGGGGTCTAATCGGCCAGATCGTCGCATCATCATAAGGGGTGTTATACTCCACCCCCACCACACCAGCCCGGATGAGGCTAATCCATCTAGGAGCGAAACTCATAGTTTCCATCGCCTTAACAAGAAAATCTCAATCCACTCTATCCTAAACTTTACTTTACTCATCATATCCAATTTTAGAGCCACAAGACATTCTTTTCCCTAGGTTTTTCTTTTTAGGTAGTGATATGTTTCAAAAGCTATCATATTCAACAGTTTTCCATGAGTTTAGCAAAAATCTTAATAATAATAGAACATACAGCAATAGGTCTCCAATCCCCCCATATTTTCGTGGCTCTCCTTTTTTGTTATAAGAGCCAGGTTTGTACGGTTAACCACATTTGGATGATACCCACATTAAAATAAATTGCAATAATATAAACACATCCTGCTCCACAATTTTCCGGTAAAGATGAAAAAAGACTGAATTAAGCTCATCAGGTATCGGTGCCTTGTGAGGGTGTATTGCAAAGACCGCTTTCTTAACCTCTCCCATCGTGATCGACCAAAGTAAGCGGCCATTATCATGGCTTGAAACTTTCATTAATCCTTGTACATCCTCTTGCCACACCATAATGCCATCAAACGTAAAGAGGTTTTGAAAATATGTTTCTATCATATTTTGAGCTGACCCCTACCGCGTACCCATCAGGAGACTGGAGACCCTTCATAGTATTTATTCGTCTCCTTTGTTTCACCGAGTTGTAAAAGAACTTAGTATTGAGATCTCTTTCTTTCAGTAAGAATTCTTTTGCTCGTCTCCAAAAATCGTTATGTTGTTTGAGAAGATCGAGCAAGAAAACTTTCACCCTCATAAACCCATCTATACTTCTCCTATCATACATGTGCCGCAGATAAACCAATCTATTTCTGCACTGGTCAATCCTCACCTGGAAGTCCCAACTTCCTCTTCTTGCTCCCGCTTTTTAAAAGCCTTACCACAATCACTGATTGGTTGCCATATACCCCGATGAAATATGTCTTACCAGCTTTGCCTCAAACCCACTCAGTCAGGGGCGGATCTAGGAAAGTCATGTTGGGGGCGAAAATATTTTTTCAGGGGTTCAAAATATTTTTTGGGAGGGAGAAAATTATTTTTCATATATATATACACTAAAAAAATTCTTGTTGGGGGGCGGTAGCCCCCTGGGTCTGTACTATGGTCCGCCTCTGCACTCAGCAATCTTCACTTGATGTGTAACATAAGTTGGTCGCTTGACGGTCCTTTTAGAGAGAAAGCTTGTATCTCTTTGAAGGTGTCCATCCGGTCACCGTTAGAGACATTTCGATCCAGTTTTTCTTCAATCCATTTTAAATTAAAAATAATACCTAACATAAATATTTACTAACTTAGGTTTTATCTCACTAGCTCTATATATTTGCATTTGAGTATCTCACAACTACAACACATAATTTTGAATTTCAATTTTTGATAAACCTACTTAAAATCTAATAGCTTTTAGCTTTTTATAAATAGATAGCTTGTGATGAACATTAATTGACTTTTAAAATGTTAATATTTTGGTGAATGACACTTTACAAATGCTAATATATTTTAATTACAAATGATGATTTTTTGTATAATATTCTTTTGTTAGTTTGGGACGTTCCGAATCATTCTAAGTATTATTACTACTTGGGTTGGATCGTCGGGATAACCCAAATCTCGAACCATCCCCAAGTGTGCTCACTCCAACTTTTCTTTAATTTGGCTTATTCAGAGTGATTACTCCAAATTTGGATTGAGGACAGGCTTAAGGTGGCTAGCTATTATAGTTTGAGATAATACCCGAGATAGGACTAATATAGTTTGAAAATTCCAAAATAGGACTGTCATGTTTTTATTTCCAAAATATGACTAATTACTGTCATGTTTTGGCAGTACCAGACTTCAAACATGGCAGTATTTTCTAAACACGGCAGTAATTAGTCCTAGTTTGGGAATAAAAAACATGACAATCTTATTTTGGAATTTTGAAAGTGTTTTAGTCCTATTTCGGGAACTTTCCCTTATAGTTTTTGTGCCATGGCCCACGTCAAGACGTTACTTGTGACATTTTGCATGGGATGCATACATTTTCATTTTTGAATTCATTTTGATAATCCGCTAATCTGATAATATAATGGCTTAACACAGAAGACAGGTTTATTTTAAGATATATTTGTTATATGCATGAAAATAGTGTCTCCTTTAACACTAATGGTCCATTTATTGTGTTAAAGAATGACAATTGACATGTACATTATATTATAAGTGATATTAAAAGTTGTACGTACATTTAACTAATGTAGATATGGAAGGTATATATTTGTTGGTAGAAATCATAAATGTTATACGTAGTACTATCGTATGTTTAATATAAGATGATGTTATAATATTTTAAAATGCATGTTAATAATATGTAAATATAATATATTTTGTGTAACTAATGAATTGAAACACTAGAATTTAGTTTGATTTAAAATATAAATCATTCCAAATGAAAAAAAAAAGTATAAATGGTCTGACTTTTCTTCCTAAATAAATGATTAGTCAGACCTTCGAGTATAAGAGGTGTGGTCCCTCTTGAGAAACCCTCACCCTATAATGCTTCAAGGTTAATGATTTTGTAAACACATTTTTAATAAATTACTACTTCATAGTAGAATATATAAAACCACTTATAAAATCATTAGGTTATACGATAGTATATAATATGTCAGTCAAAATTAAATTCAAAGATTTTCGAACCCTATATATGTGTGGAGCAGAGCCAAAAGCTCCTTACATGAATGAGTGGATAGGCATAAATGCAGCTCTTTGGTTCGTTCAATTCGTAACAACCATTGTCTATTTAAGAAAATAAAACATTCCTTCCAAACAGAGAGGAGGGATATGTAAATAACTTTTTATTTGTTCCCTTTAATTAAGTCTGGTCTAGTATAGAAATTAAATAAAGCTACTACTAATAGCTAGAGCTCTAATCCTAACTCGTACAAAAAAAACATAAAATATTACCATCTATCTATCTAGGCTAGATGCAAAAAAATATCACAATAGAAAACAAAAAATAATTTTTTTGACCAGAAAAAAAAAACAATAATGGAGAGGTCTAATAATTATAATTACTATAATAAGATAGTTTGGTCATTGTTTGTGGTGTTGGCATTCGCTGCCCCAACCTTGGCGGAAAACGAAACCGTCGACGTTCCCGTTGACCACGACGGCGTGTGGAGGCTACGCGAGGCAGAGGCCAGAGTAAATGCCCTCAAGGCTTACCATCCTAATCCTGAAAACGTTACCAAAGAGTTCGCTGCAAAAGTAAAAATGTATGTACTTACTCCGTCTCTTTTTAATTGCAACAGTCAACATATCATGTTTGACAACGCACAACTTTGATCGTCATTATATTTAATTCTGTATTAGTAAAAATAAAATAAAAAATTGATAATAAAACTTAGTAATGAGATGAATTTAACAACATTTTTCAAAAAAAATAATTCACATACATTAATACATAAAATGTAGTCAAAGTAAAGTAAATGAATAGTGTATATATTTCAATGTTGCAATTAATGAGATACGGAAGATAGTATATATATACCTAATAACTAGCTTCATTTTATTCTTTTGTTACCGTTTTATTTGGTTTTGTTCTTTTTTATGTTCTATATTCTTTTTTTGGAAAGTGTCCTATTATCGGTTCCGTTTCTTAATTAATTTGACACGTTTTATTTCTTTAATTCTTTCTTTAGCCTTGTATTTTTCA